TGTGTGTGTGTGTGTGTGTGTGTGTGTGTGTGTGTGTGTGTGTGTGCGGATGCATTTAAACCATCATGTGAGTGTGGGTAATTTGCTTCTCAATATAGAGCTATATTTGTGTCTGCAGAAACAAGATCTTCATGTACTGACTCATCACAACACCACCTCCTTCCCTCTTTTTCCTTCTCTTGCTTTGTTTAGACCGAATATCAGTCAGCATTCCTCCAACGCAGCATCCAGTAACATCATTTCTTCAAAATAAATCTCCTTTCCCGTCAGACAACCACACTTCCACAGAAAGCTTATTACTGTCTGACCAGAATCTGCTTCTTGCCACTTCCTCAACTTGAAAAGTTTATTCATAAATGAAACTCAAAAACACATTTACAAGTACTTTTAAAAAAATGGCAAAACAATAAAGCAAGACAAAACACACAAAGCCCCTTTGGTCTTTTATTTATTCCTTCCTTTTCTAGTTTATGCATTAGTCCTCTGTTTTAAGTTGTATTCACATGTATTTTCATTTCTCCTTGTTTTGAAGTATATTTGTGTATTTATGATCTCCTAAAATTCAATAAAATTTAAATCGTAAAGAAAAAGAGTCTAAAGTAAGTAAAGTACATGATAGAAGAGCTTCTGGAGAAAAGGAAAACTCTCCTCGTGCTATTTATAAAGGAGTGAATCTAACAACAGAGGCTTTTGGAAAAAAACCAAAGGATCTCAGACAGGATCTCAGTGAGGCTTTGTCCTGGCTTTAAAATCTTCTAATCAGGTCTATGACCACCAGAAAAGTCACTGAAATGATAATATAATTTATTTATTTACAGTTTGACACCCTGACGATTTGATTTTGAGCGAGCTGTAAGCATGAGATATTCACCAGAGATAAAACAGTGTCTCGTCAGGAGGAGACGAAGGCTGAAAACAGGAAAAACTTGCACGCTGAGATATTTCTGTGTTGATGAAAACACGATTCTAGGAAGAGTTACAGGAAAGTAATCAATTAGTTAGTCAAAAGAAAATTATCTGCTTAAAGGCTCTGAGTTTGGAGAATGGTTTCAGTCAAAAAGGCTGTGTGGCATTTTGTCATTGCCTACAGGATACAGCATACAGCATGTACCACATAATCACAACATCCATGGCTCAATCTGCGGAGAGACGTAGCCTCTCCCCACATTTACTGCTTCCCTCTACACTGACCTTTATATATAGAACTAATATTCATTCAAGAATCCATCTTCTTAAAAGTAAGCAGAGAATGTATATGGAGGAAATGACTATAGCTGATTATTTAACAATAAAAAAATAATCATAGATATCAACCTAGAAAATATTTTAATTTATTCAGGACACCATGGGGTACTACTTTTGGACTGTAGTTTACCATCTAACATGGATTTGTAAAATTACTCAATTTGAAGTATTTTTATCTCTGTTTGTCATTTTAAAGAATCCTGAATTCATCATAGATTATGAAACCCAATTAACATTTAGTAAATATCTACTAACTTATATCATATTTTCCTGTGAGTTTCTATGTATTAATCAAAAAATGTGGAAGTGAGGTAAAATTGAAGGTTGTTTTTACTGTTCACCAACAAAAATAAGGTGGAGACAGGAAGACCAAGTTATTGACATACTTGTTCTAATACTTTCATGATCATATGTAATGAATAAATTGCATTTATGCTTCATATCATGGCTCCCACCTACAATATTTTCAGACGAGCCAAACCACACATCACCATGGCATCAGTGATCAGCGTTGCATCGACCAATTAAAACCGTGGAGAGTCGCTAACAAAGGCTAAATAAATGCAGCCTGACATTTAAAATGTGGATGCATACATCGAGGGGGTGATGTCACCGTGCACCTGGCAGAAGCAGTGAGGAGATGTTTCCGGAACACTGCCCCATAAAAAACGACAGGTGGCAGGAACCCATGTACATGTTTACTTGGTAAACCTCCACACCTGCCTCATTCAGAGCAGGTGCATCAAACTGTGACGCTTTTACTCAGTAAACACTGGCAGATATTGAATGATCCCTGATCAAATTTGCAGGAATGAGATATATATGAGTGACCTACAATAATTAGAACACGCTAAAAACAGTATATAAGGAGAAATACCATTTTAGCCCTATGACACACAAACCTGCTTACGTAAAGCATTGATCGGATGTTTAACAGACAAAGCCACCACAACACAAAATTAAGAAGTTCATTATCGTGTTTCTGAACTCACCGTGGGAACCCTTCTCTTGGGAGGTAGTGGTAAAGGTGGGTTGGAGGACTTGCGGCTAACAACAGCTCCAATGGTGCAGATTTCCTTTTCAAACATGGCTTTGACAGTGTCGTTGTGGACCAGGGTGAGGTGGAGAGAGTCCTTGGCCTGCATGCATGTACGGATATACTGCGAACGAGAAAGGACAGACCTGTTTTTTTAGCTAAGTGCATCTCTTAGCCTTTGCTAACGCCAAAAGCTGGACGTTAAAGTTGGATTCTAAAATGTGAAGAATAAGCATTCACAGTGCAAATGCATTGTTGTATTACAACTATATAGTCAGCAGACTTCAGATGAAATTAAGATATAAGGCTGCACGAGGACAAAAGCTCAGCACGTTTCAAATATCTTGGCGTTATGTTATTAATCAATCAGGTTTAAAAAGAAAGTCATGCAACCAACTACTCCTCAATACTGACCCATTGACCTGAGGCACAACACACAGTGCTCGTACAACCAACAAGTCTATATTAACTTTTACTCACAACAAGCACACTTCGCTTCGACACAAAGTCCTCCCACAAAGAACAGAATGTATTAGTGAAGCAAACCGTGAGAGCATCTTAAAGAAGAATGCACTGTGTACCACATGAGTACTTAACTCTTTATCATTACTTCTCTCTGAAGAAGTTTTGTTTAATGCTGCTAAATAAAAGACAGACAAACAAACAAATGCAGATGAAACCATGAGCTACTTTGTGATGTTAAAACTCTAATTTGTTACAACCACTTAAAAGTGTTATAACAGCTCTCTTCATCACAGGACTGACACTGAAATCTAACAACTAACACTAAACACACACATATATAGCCATTCATATATATAGACACTAGTCTTCTGTGTAGTCACTGACCTTGTACTGAATCAGCTGGTGGTTTCCACAGAGGAACTCCTGACACTTGCTGAGCCTCAGTACATACTGACTCCTCCATGCCTCCTCCTCGGGGCCATGGGTGGTCAGCCACTTCTTCACTGCCAGCTCCATCAGCTCTGAGGTGGTGCAGGACGATGGCACCTTCAGACTGGCTGAGTCCTGCAAGACAAGAAAGGAACACAGAGACAGAGAGACAAGAGTTAAATTTGTAGTTTTTTTCTATTTTTTTGTTTACCATAAGACTGTAACGTTTGAAATAATAGCTAAGCAGATATGTGGTTTAGTCATATCATGATTCAAATATGTCACAAAAGCAGACAGTGAAAGAATTGGAGAATGTACAGACTGTCGACCTGCTGGAGGCCTTGTGGCTGCATCATATGAGGAAGTGAAGAGGAAGATGGTGATAAGATAGTATTATCAATGTCGTTTTATGTCACAAACATACAAAATAGTTTGTGCACAGAAGTTCCCTTTTCTAACTATACATACAGTCACTGAGCATACATGCATATCGTCTTCTTCTTTATTGAGTCTAATTAGTTAGTTAGTAGTCTAATTAATATAAGTCTAATTCATCCCTCTGTGTAGTTTGGGGAAGTACTTTTCTATACAGCCATACACAAAACATTTTTATTAGGATTGCAACCTGATCAGAGTCAAACACCTCATCTGCTCCTCTATCTCATAAATGACATATTCTTAGTATTTAGGAAATCAGTAGTTTTCAAAGGTGGCAAAGTACTGCAAAGTACTCTTAAAGATGCTTAAAAGACCATTTAACTGCTATTCTACAAGTTTTCGTCTCTATGCATTCTTTGTCTTTACGGACATGATCTGTTTACTATTGGTTACTATAGTAACCCCTCCCTCTCAACTTCCACTCAGGCGTGCACACATTTACACACATCGTTTGCTTTCATATTGATATTATCAGTCCTACACTTACTGAACTCCGACAGGATACTGCACGGTACAAGGTGACCAGGCCAAATAGACCTCTGCCCTGATTGTGCTGCTGCAAAATGTACATAGCGGAAACCCTTTTAATTTTCTACATGTTTATTTTGTATTTTCCAAATTTGAGAAATTTTAACATTATTTACGTCGAGGCACATTGGGTTTTCTCCCTCCCACTGCAATGTATATTTTTTGTCTAATTCTTTTCTTTATTCGTGCCGACTAAAAAATGGAATAATTTTGATATGTGTATATTCACGGCTAAATGAAGTTTCTCCCTCTGCAACAGACCGTGTACAAAACGTGTAGAAATATGAGTCCCGTACGCACAACCACAGCCAGGCGAATATGTTCCGAGTGCAACACTCACTAACTGCTTTATGACCTGATACCTGAGAGGGAATTTTAATTTCCTGCAGGTCTAATAAAAATGTCTTCCATTAATAATTAACAGAAAAGAAAGTCCACGGCTTTGTTATGGTGGTACTACAGAACCAATAACAGTGTGCTATCCACACAGAGCTCCAGCATTTTATATGTCTCTGATCTGAGGGGGAAATTATTTTCAAATTATAATGCAGTGAGTTAAACAACCAAATAGGCCTGATGATGTCAGTGAGAAGGTTCACACTGAACTACGGTCATATCCACTTTACAACAATAAACCAAAGCACCACACTTCCTGTCTGTAATGAGGCTCATTGTGTCTGACCTCCCAAATAAGACTTCCTGCCAACGTCCACCTGAGCACAGTGGCACAGATGGCCCTGCTTTTGTCTGTGAACGTTTGCGTGTCTATGATGTTCATCAAAACTGATATACAAGAGTCTGGAGGGACATGACCATCTGTTTTATGATGAAATAATATTATCTCTCAACAATTATTAAATACTCAACAGTTCACACAGACACAATGGTCTTCTTTGGTATCCACTAGGTTTATCACAAGAGCATCAACAACAAAGGAAACAACAATGCATCTTAAAGTATTTCAATGTATCACATCCCCAATATTACTGCACATGGCAGCTTTTTCATCAGTTAATATTAGTTAAAAAACCAGTCAGATACGAACTCTCATTTTATTTGGAAAGTGCTTTAAAATGTATTTAAAAACTGTTACTGCTATTACAAGTGTGCTGTAATTTACACAATAAGGTTTTCAATTCATAAATCCGACTACAACAGTAAGTCTATGACGGTGGTCAGTGCTCTCCGCACTGATTTCACATTAATTCAGGTTAGACTTGTGCGCTGCAACTCAGGCTTAAAAGGACAAACTCTGATTATAGTCTTTACTGTATCGATCATGTTCTGTCTCTGCTTGGATGCAGAGTGGTCCGCGTTGGGATAAATCTAAGAATTAGGAAATGTCCACAGCTCTAGTGCTCACCACTGTGCAGGAGACGTGAAGGGAAGGTAGAGATGAAGTCTAATCCCAACCTGACATTTCGATTTTTTATTTAATCAATATATTTGTTGACAGGGAAGCTTTGCACAAATAGTAATATTATAGTTATTTATTTAAAAAAAAATTGATAAAATAAAGTTTAAAAAAAGCACGACAGAAAAAGGTCACTTTCTCTCCAGGAAGAAAAAGGGCCTCTAAAATAAAGCACAGAAACAAATAGAAGATGACAGAGAGTCCAGAGAGCAAGAGAGGCTCATTTAATCAGAGTTTTGTTCCCTTGAGCTCTCATGCTAGTGTGTGTGTGTGTGTGTGTGTGTGTGTGTGTGTGTG